TATATCTATTCACTTCACTCTTGGCTGCCCTGGTGCAGTTATTCTGCCAACCAGTGTAACGGCAATACTACTGATGGAGGTGGCATGCTAGTAGTATGTTTTCTCGTAAATCCGCTCTGAATCTCTCGAAAAGTACGATCGGTTACGGAATTCGTAGAGTCGCTCAGTAGAATTTGCTTGCAATTGAGTAACAGTCAATGAATAGCCAGCAAAGCTCAGGAAAACGCGTTCAAGGAGAAGATGGATATCCAGTTTTTGTAAACGAGATGCATATGAGAGTTTTTCTCCCCTGTTCAGTTGACACTATCTAATAAATAACTCCACAGCGCACGCCTTCTTCCATTCACCAAGACTGTACCAGGACTATACAAGCAAGGACGAACCTTCAAATTCCACAAACAAGTATATGAATGATGCCAGGGTCAACTTACATTAAGACAACCAAACACAAGACAATTAAAATCGGGGTCACATACACTTTGGAGAAATGAAGATCAAAGCGAGCGGGATTTGAATGGGGGATAGGTCAATGGGTTACAAAATCAGGTGGGTGACGCTAATGTCACACAGACATTTGGGATCGGATTTTCACCAGGCCAGTTCAAGTTCATGGATCACACAGGCTGCTTTTAGATTCAAAGTTGTGGATCCAGCCGTCGGATTCCAATCGACTCTGCGATCGATCGTAGTCTGAACTTTATGAGTTCAAAGGTGATACTACTAATGGGGAGGCATGAGAATAGTATGTTTTCTTCTTGTAAATTCACTTTGCGTCTCTTGAAAAGGGGAGACCTGTTGCGGAGTTTGTGGAGTCGCTTTGTAACATTTGTTTGGATTTGAGCGATGAATGATTGGAGTCAATGAATATCCAGGAAAGTTCAAAAAGACACGTTCAGGAGAAGATGGATGTCCAGTTTTTGCAAATAAGATACAAACGAGAGTTTAGCTTCTTTGTCCAATAGTCTGTAACTGTCCGGTTGGAATTTTTCAATAAATAACTCCGGAGCGAAGGCCTTCTTCCTTTCACCAGTAGTGATCGGTTCATATACCGGGTACCTCTGAATTGATCACGACTGGTACGATGAATCACAGAGGCGATTGGAATCCAATGGCTGGATCCATAAATTTGCGTCCAGAAGAAACTTGTGCGACCTCTGAACTTGAACTGGCCTGCGAAAAACTCTGTCCCACTGGCCTGTCTAACATTGACGTTACCTGATTCCGTGACCCATTGACCTCATTCATACCCCCTGCCTTTGATTTCAATTTCGCCTAAGTGTATATTCCCCCGATCTTAGCCTTTTCCCGTGATTTATCGCGCGATTTAAATTTGTTATGTATTAGCCAAGAGGACCAATCACAGAAAACAACCTTTTTCGTTCTCATGAATACCACGGGTATATTCAGCCACTTGAAACATAAAACGCTTCTGGTGGAAGAGCTTTGCCAATCTAACCGAAAAGGTAAGCATGCGGTGCATGTATGAATTGTCAGGGTTCGGGGCGATTTTTGGGTGTGACCTAACTTAAAATTGATCGAAATTTGCACAGATGTGCAGGTATACAAGAAATTTTTCTAAAATATACACCGGTTTTGGCTCCTGTGTAACACAACTCCGACCAATATGAATTCTGCTCGTCATGCACCTGTAATTCACTCCAGAAAGTACGTTTTTCTGTTCTGTTCTTTCGAAGACCACGTTGGTGACTTGGGCTGAGTTGGAAATATCTAGAATTTGGTGTGTTTTGAAGGACGGTACACCAATCATTTCTTTCGTCTGGCTTGTGGGTGCATGGGGCCTGGATGTAGCAATCTGGTTGTTGATATCTTGATATCAGTCGATTTAAAGAGTTCCGTCTACATCTGGGTAGGTAGCATATATCTCCAGCCATTTGTCCTTAGCTACATCAAGGCACAACTTCACATCATCCACACCCCAAATCAGGCGAATAAGGCATACAGTAATGGTCACAGAGGGAGTGCTTTTAACATATTGTGAAGATCCTGATGTGCATTGAAGTCAGACTACCAACTGAATCGAGAAAGCACGTCACAGGACCAAGCGGTAAGTATTCGGCCTTATTAGTATCTGGTGCTAATCCCCGATGCCCTACTTTACTTGATTATTCATTGATTCGCATCGAAGATTGACTGGCCCAGGTTAAAAGTAACCAGAATGTCAGCACACGAAATTTGTGTGTATGGAACCTCACATCAATTCGAAGTACTGGGTCAGCTAGTTTATTATTACTGTTTCTGACTTACTTTATCTAAGATTTTCGGAAAGACGGTTTTAAATTGAACTAATGTTGTTCCCAATTGAAGAGGTCTGTGCTCCCGTGTCAGGAATTTTATCCTGTATTGATCAGTCGGGCCAAGTTACCTTTTTTAAATCAAAGAAATGCTGTCTGTATTTGCGCATATGGCAATATGCAGAAAACACGGAAGCACTTTTGCCCATCTGGTATTTGGTTCACTGTCTACTTGCAGACTGTCACTCAGAGACCAAAACAAAAAATTAAGAAAAAACGTACTTTTTCTTCTTTGTGACAAGTAGGAGATCGTTGAATAGGATGAGGTAGAAGGAGCTGGGTTTCTTAAGCGAAAGTTTTTGCAGCATGCTGATTCGACTGTCCGGCGCACCTTCGCGAACTTCACCTTCTTTGATCAAACGCTTGTCGCTGATTGCGATGCTCTAAAAATAGAAGTCCAAATGATGTAAGAGTAGAGATTTCGATTTTAGGCTGGTTCTAGAGCCTAAAGTTATCTGTCAAGGTATTGAGGCAATCTAATCCCTGGGTGGAAAAACTCAGCATAGATTGGCTTCACTTCCACAAAAATCCCAAATCTCCTCACACTACCAATAATATATAAGTAGCTTAGTGGAAGAATAAACTTCACCCGATCAGCAAAACTTCTACCTGAGAAGTGGTTACTCGACGAGCCAGTGAACACGTGTGACCGCGTGATGTGGCTCTCGTGATTGAATGATGAGCGGCGCTGCATGCTGTCTAAGTGCGAGTCAATCAGACTGCGGATCAGGCACTGGTGGCCGAACGGTTTAGTGTTCAAACTACTAGCCGGGAGGTCGCGGGTTCGAGACTCTTCGGAGTTTGGTGAGATGCGCACTAGTCATGGTTCCCAATAAGGATGAAACAGCTGCTTCTCAACATAGACTGGCTTCATTTACAGGACGAAATCTCCACATAAATCCCAAATCTCCTCACACCACCAGTAAGGAACCTGTAAAGGTCACGGGGAGGACGCATTCCGTTGTCTTTCCCGTACCAAGGGAGATGTGTGGCGTCAACGGATGCGAGTGGCATTTGGTTCATTAAAACAAATTTGATGGGAATAGGGTTTCGTGCGAACAACTTGGAAAGTTGATCATGCAATTTCCAGGCAGTTAAAATGACGTGAATTTCACTCAAACCTGAGGCAGGACAACTTCGGGCGAATAATGTTTTGTAATGTACTACTCATAAGGTTGCTGACAATCCGTCGACAGCCCACGACCGGTTCCGCCCTTTCACTTTGGGCTCATCAGGTAGGCACAGTCCCAGGGTTTCCGTCAATCTTATGTTCTACTTGAAACCAAATTGTACGAAATTCGCGAATATACACTCATTTGTAAACTAATTTGTTTTTTTCGAGAGACCCACCTGGAACCCAGCTGAGTCTCTGAGAGCATCACAAACGAGAGATTGAACTGGGTTCCAGATGAGTCTCTCGAGAAAACCAAATTGGTTTGCAAATGAGAATATATTCGCGAATATTGGTTGTTTTGTAGAATTATTCAAGCGTGAAACGCATGTTCATCCGTTTCTTTGCGAGTCACTACCGTGACTGCATCCTGTAATCATTCTACGAGCATTCCCAATCTCAAATGGTGTCTGTCTGTTGAATGATACTACAGCGTTTTACCGATTAGCCAGATAGACTTTCCACAGGGAAGCCTCATTGGTGATTTCGCCCCATTAAGGAAAACAGCCTATACCGAAAAGTAAAGAAGCACTACACCGTCACGAAGAAACTGGACCTTACCGTGGTGTGACGGTTTGCGCACCTCAGCGATCCATTGAGCTATACTGGGGAGTGTCCCCGTGACACTCACAGGGTCACTCATACCAGGTTGGTCAATGGTTAGAGGTATCAGGAACACAGTCTCCTGGCCCTCCGGTCGGGGGCTAAAAACAACAAACGGCAGAAAATAGCCCGAATTATTCACGATTCGCGAGGAAAACCAAGTAGGACTGCTGCCATGCACTCGGACATTTCAGATAAGGCTTCGTTCGAGGGCCCCAATCGTTATCCAGAGAGCCCTGACAATCCCAGCCCACGTCCAACCATGATCCACACAACTAACAATATTCTCGTGCCACATCGGCCGTCGCGTGGTGCCATCAGCTTTACTTGCTGCATAGAGCAGAGCGGGTAAGCGAAAGCATGCTACTTACGGCAGTGAAGTATTGGTGTTGAACACTGATGTCATGCTGTCGATGATGATAATGATGTTTCATCTTTAGTTGGACGTGAATTGCGCACTGCTGTGCAGACTGTGTCGCAGCCGTACCAGTGCCGTCAGAAACAGAAAACTAACTCAGGGCTGTAGGCTACCGGTGAGCGCCGGATGTCCGCTAATGATAAGAAGGACGTCAAAAAGAGTTTCAGTAAGATATCTCTTTTTTCAGTGACCGTCAGTTAGGGTGGGCTAAAATAACATTTGGCTGAACGCCAGGATAACAGAGCCATACTGCTAGAGTAGAGTTTTACGATCACCGTGGTGAATAAGTTGTAAATCTTCTGACAGACTTTCATACAGGGTCATCGTCATCATCGTCACTATCATCACCATCATCACCATCATCATCGACAGGATGATATCAGTGTTCAAAACCGACGATTGGCCGCCGTACAACCATGATTTGTTGTGGGTGTCATGGTTGTACGTGGGCTTGGATACTGCCAGGGCGCCCACACCTAGGCAGGAGGACGATTAGGGCTCTCAACCAAATCTTTTGGCTAAAAAGCCTAACAGCAAGGCAGCGGTATTCGGAAACTGCTTTTCCATTTTTCATCATGATCATCATCATGGTCATCTGTAATAACTGAGTACCGTCGTACAGTAGTGGTAGCTGTCGAAGTTTTCTTCGCCGATGATTTGGGAAGGTGGGGTGGGCAGCTGCGCATTGGAGGCGGGAGCTGATAAATTAGTGCGTAAATACAGCACTGTAGGTGGACTGTTAAGTGGGGGGATCTGGGAAGGGAGCTGTGCAGTGAAGACAATAGCTTGGATGCATGAGCGACATTGAGGGCGCGACTGGGCCATGTCTGACAATGTCTCTAACCATTGAGATGGACAGTCTCGGGGCCCCGTTTCATACAGGATACAATGAAGCAAACCGTGTTTACCTTGTGCAGGTAGTTTAGAGTATTCACTTTTTTAACGAAGGAATAAAATCTTGACAGCAGTCGTTTCTCATTTGGTCTACCGTGAAGCGAATCCCCACGAACCTGGTTTACGCGGGATCTCGGAGGGCTGGTATTTTGAAAATAACGTACCTTCACGTTATCCGGAAACTCCAGCGCGGACGACAAAGTCAGCAACCTCGCCTTTTGGTCCATCAGTTCTTTTTCTGTTTCACTAGATGCAAGAAGCTGTAAAAGAAAGTCCAAAAAGAAATTTTAGGAGTTCAAGGCAATGGCTGATCTGCAGGTGGGGCATCAAAGCTGCATTTTGGCGGAGATACCTATTTACTCGTTGTCCTAGCGACGAGCTGTTTTGGGCGGTGTTTATAGAACCAGATTACTTGTTTTAAACAGTTTTTATTGTTCAGTACCTCCACCTCCATGAACATTACTCTTCAGAAACGCAAGGCGTCTCTTAAAACTCGTTGATGGGGACTACGGTGATGAAAAGTTTTCTTGAGGAAATCACTTTGCAGGAGAGGCTCTGGTCTAATCGACTTTTATTTCCAGTGGAGGACATTCATACTACCGACCATCCTGCGTCTCCGATGACAAGAAGCTTCCATATCTTATGATGCATAAGTTTGCTTGAATAACCACTGCCTCAGGTATGAAATCCAAGTGGTCACAAAGGCAGTATTGAGTCCAGTGTTGCCGTATACTAGGAATATTGTTCTAGATGAAAACGAGTTTAGGGATTAGAGAGGGAAACTGAAGCTAATGGCTGTGAAGCGTGACGTGGTTGAAAAATATTTGGTACTCAGGGAATTTTGTCCAACTGCAGACATTGCCTTATAATTAGATGTATCGTCAACTTACGCGTTAGCGCGACAAGTTGCGGGTGAGCAGAGTGTCCTACTCAAATACACATCGTTTACCATCGCGTCCGTGGGATATACTTCTCAGTGGCCTCACACACTACCAGTGAAAAACAAAACGCTTCACGGAGACAGGGTTTTTTTCAATTTCATAGGAGATGGTCACGCTTAAAGCAAAAATTTACAGCATGCAGCCTCTTCCTGGGTAGCTGTCGCTATTTGGATGGTTTTCTCTCTTGAAGACGGCTTCAGTATTGAAATTCTCGAGTTCAAAAAACATACTAGGCCTAATAAAGTTCCACTTGCTCAAAGAGTTTGTAGACCGAAAGATCCGCCCACTTGTAAAGTGAAAAAACGAACAAGTACCTGTGAAAACTGCGCGATAAGAACGGTCAACAGGTTAGTCATGAATTTGACACTTTTGATTCGCCGTTTTTTATGACGACATCATTGTTGAACGATAGGCTGTTGTCGTTTAGTCCCAGGTTGTATCTTGTTAACAATGCTAAGGTGTTGCTAATCTTGCGACCAGGTGTCGATACAAGGTCACTACAAATTGAAGCTCTCTCGGGTGTTTGAACACTGACAGTGCAGCGGCGGTGCTGGCAACAGCCACCTTCGGCATCAACGGGATAAAGGGAAAAACGGGTGTTCGGCTGTGATCACTTGATAAATCATCCACCGGCATCAATTGTGGTGCATATTGAATTATTGTCTATCGAGACGAGTACTTTCTTTAAAGCAGTGTAACAGGTGAAGCGGAACACTTGTGAACGGAAATAAGAAGTGTACACGAGTTTCCATAAGGTTTTTCACAAGGTTGCTGGAAACTCTTCGACAGCCCACGACCGGTTTCGCCCATCTTGGGGCTCATCAGGTACGCGCAGTCTCCGAGTTTCCATCAATCTTATTTTCTACTTGAACCCATAGTGGACTGTTTTCGAGAAATACACTCAATTGCAAATCAATTTGGTTTCCACGGGAGACTCAACTGAATCTCTCGCTTATGATGTTCTACAACTGAATGTGTTGCACACAGACCGCTTCATGTTTCAGTTGGCATGATATTCGAGATATCGCAGTATATTTTCATAAAGGACTCTACTCACAAGGTTGCTGAAAACTCTTTGACGGTTGGTTTCGCCCTTCTTGGTGCTCATCAGGCAGGCGAAGTCCCAGAGTTTCTGTCAACCCTATGTTCTACTCTGTACAGGAGTTGTTTGTGCGGTCCACCTTCTATGGTTCGACCGGCTTTCCCACTGCACTTAGTCGATGGTGTAGCAAGAAAAGGTAACTGGTCGATGGCAATAGCATTTGTGTTGTCAGTTTTTTCCACAGGTTGTCTAATTGAACCGCTGGGGAAACTCAAAATGCTTACGATCGCACCAGGCACCGCAGCAACCCTTTAAGGCTATAGACGTCGTAAGACAAAGTACGGGTTTGTTCCGTGAATACATGTGGAGGTAAGTTGATTTTCTTCGCAGGTATATGAAATCCCAGGGAACTCGGGAACTGCGCCTACGTGATGAGCCCCAAGAAGGGCGAAATCGGTCATGAGCTGTCGAAGAGTTTTCACCAACGTTGTGAACAGTTTCCTTTATGAAGTAATATTTTGTTTCTGGATGATTCGTTGCATACCTAACCACACCAAATGTGCGGAACTAAAAAGGGGCAAGAACTTTGCAAATTTTTAACGCCTTTCGTTCTGGCGGAAATTTCTGGAAAAATCACAACTTTTGGTTGGTGAACGGCCCTCCACCAGGTTAAAAACTTGCTCTTAAACTTGCGTCCAGCGTGCCAAGGATAGACGTTACGATATGAAACAAGTATTCAGTGGTGAGCCACACACCTATTGTTGTGAAATTTGGTGCAAGTACATTTTTGGAACAAGAGTACAACCATCAGTGTGTCCCATTTCTTTGGAGCATATTGTTTTCTTCCCGATAAGAACGAACAATCTAGTAAGGGAAGAACACAAAGATTCCCCCATCCTAATGGGGCGCTGAAGGTGGCTCATCTGGTCCAGCACCTTGAGGACTTTTGAAGGCAAAAATACATAGTAACATAAAAAAACTAATGTGGGTTCGAACTTGCGAGCTACGACCTGAAATTAGCAGGTGGAGTGAAGAACATGATTAGACGGGCAGGGGCTCAATTAAACCGTTCTTCAAAATATGCCGGCCACCGACCGAGATACTGGACCTCATTATGTATTAGAACTGATCAAAGTGGCTTCCGCATATTCTCGATCATCTTGGCCCTTCTTATTCGTTGTACGTTCTAGTCCCATAAAAGGACTGGCATGTACTCGAGCTTGAGACTGACCTGTTCTCTGAGTCTGCATCAAGCAGTGATACTGGTCGTTCTGAGATTCAGCGACTTTCTTGTACGCACTCGGGAACAACAAAAGACAGTGTTTTCGGCGTCATGCATGACTGTGCCTATCTAATCATATTTGCGGCTACCGTCCTTCGAAGCGGTCACTCCTAATCATTATGTAAGTAAGCTTTGGTGTATTACCTTAACTTTCTGTTCGCAAACCTTTTTACTGCTAACGGGGGGGGGGTCATTTCTTCGGACCATTGGGAAAGTTTAGTGTACATCTGTTCCAAACCAGGGAACGATCTGGTTCGGCCTGTGGATTCCAAAACGATCGGTACTCGATCAGTAGATGACGCGATGCAGTCCAACGGACTGCTCAGCGGTAGAGGAACGCCAGATAACACAGTGGTGCCAACTGCTGGTGCTGAGTGCAGCCGATAATCAGTGTAAAGTCGTGCACCATTATCATTGTATTTTTCATCCTAACGATTCTCACCACCAAGAAGTTTAGTGAGCTGAGTTGTGGAAATGGAAAGTTCGACAGTGCATAGTCAGTTGCTTATAGGTGTTTGGTCGAGTAATAAATTCAAAGCTCGCTACCTGAGTGTTGTAGACCATAGTCTTCTTGATGCCTTCTTATTACGTTGAACACCGGTCTGGATAGCCGATTGGTAGCCTGGTGCGCTTGGTGAAACTAGATGAACGTGCGAGTCAGCTGATCTATTGATCATTGTCGCGTAAAAGCGGTCAAAATGTGATCCTAAGAATACAATTTATCTGTCAAGGGCGAGTGCAGAACTAATGAAATCTGTCTCAACAGAAAAAAACGGTTATTCCATTGGCTGTTATGTAGTCCCGTTGCTTTCGGAGCTGGTTCGCCTAATACTGAGGGCTGTAGTAATGCCAGTAGGACGCACTGTGTTAGCCGCTGGATCATTCGAAGTGATCGGTGTTGATTTACTGAGTGCCTTGCTGACGTATCCGTAGTTAGGCTTTACGGAAGAGCAACCAATAAATGGGACGGGAGATGGATTAAGGAGGCGTAATGGAGAAAAGTTAGGAGCGTCGGCGGTCCGTCTTACGCTTATTCACCCTGCAGTATTTGGTGGATAAGACAACTCGGCTGATTGACTGAGTGACCGCCTGTTTTCTAAGATGTTGCGCACTTTATGGTTGTATATTCATCCACACCGCCGGGGCACCGAATCCTAGAGAAGACCAGAATCCTCAGTCAAATTCACAAGCCTGGAGGTGGTGGTGGGCGTAAGGATAAGGGAGTATCCCAGGTGTTAGCTGACGAAGTGCGCTAACGGTGCAAGCCTGGAGGACCACGAGATTATGTTAATCAGAAGCCCGTTGACTGGCCAAAACGGTTGGAAAGGCTCTGTGAGTACGGGACACCTCAAAAGGATACTGAGGTGTGGTCTGTTACAATCTCTTCGCTGGGCGTAGTTCAGCTCTGGTTGACTTCGGATGTTTCCTACCGGACAGTTTGATAACCCTAATTTTGCGAGTTACGTCGCTTATACGCGCTCTAGCTCATGTGGAATGAGGCGCATTTCACGTCTCCACGAATGACGACCCTCTGGATACGCTGTGCAACTTGTGTTATGAACTTGCGGGGTCTGTCTGCCCAACTCATGTACAGGATGTCATTCTTCCATGCTGTCGCTTGTTCTGCGGTGCTGAAGGCCATGACAGTAGTTTTCAAAAACTAATGACGACTCTGTGAGTTCATGACCTTCCCCAAGTCCTCAATCTTGAGGATTCTTGCCAAGTGATAAGTTGACCATACTTGTGTGTGTTCTTGAAAATGGTAAACTGTTTACGCCTAAAGCTAAACGATGAGACTAGGTCAGAAAAGAAAGAGGAGTCATTGAAATTAGCGGGAAAGATTATTGAAACCGCATCTTCACTGCTGAATGAGAAATGCAGTCGGATATTGGCAGAAACTGCAAAAAATGCTTACTGAAGTTACTACAGTAATCTCTCTGAGAAAGATTTCTCAGGAAAAGACTAATCCATAATGTTTTAATTGAGTTTATCGCTCGAGTGTTAATTTTCATTACTTAGGAGGAATTCACCTCTAGGGAGACATGGCGAAGCTGCTTTGTACGTGTGAACTTGTTTCCGAAGGACCATTGCAGGCAATGGGAGGAGAAGTCTTACATAGTGTTGAACACATACATAGACAAATGCCTGTAAGTACCGCTCAGCTGTAACACTCTTCCGGTGCCTAGCTGCCATACCACCCAAAAGGAAGCACGAGGGTTGGGATACTGCCGGGTTGCCCAAGCCTAGGGACAGGGAAGTCGAGAGGCAGAGGGCGGGTTCGAACCACGGACCTTCTGGTCAGCAAATTCGCGCTCTAACCACTTGAGTCATCTCGCCCCCCCCGTAAGACTTTCCTCTGATGCATCATTCGCTCAGACAGTTGTGCGTGACCTAAAATTCATGTTAATCACAACTATTATCGTATAAAACAACAGTTTAGAATTGTTATAGGGAAAAGGCTATGAAACATGCGGTGTTCGCCTGAATAGATGTTTCTCTCTTACTCTACTCAGTTCTCGTAGAGCCAACTGTACGTTCTCTCGTTCGCGGTCGGTTGGAACGCGGTATGGGGACTTTCGCTGTGCCGGATCACTGGCCTCCTGGATGACGGAATCCTGTAGCCGACGAATCACTTCCACCAGCAACTTCAAGCGTGTCAAACGTTGCATCGGCAAGGCCAGAAACGAACCCAATGAGTTCTTTCCGCTGATCGGGTGCGCATGCAGAGTCTCCAGTGTGGATCGGAAGCTATCTCGCTGACTGGATCCACAAATGATAAAAGAAAAACAAAACGAAAAAAACGTGAAAAACTGATCTGACATAAAAACGTGCTGTAATATACAAACAGCTTCGAAACACTAGGTTTGTTAGACTTAATGTGTCCATAAAAATGGACGAAATTGCTTCGATCTGTTCACATTTCGACTACTTTTTTACGTAATACGTCAAACAGCAGTAACATATTAACAAAAGTGATACTCGCGGATTCCCGTACACTTCAAACGAGATCGAAATGGCCATTCTCTGTGATCTCGGTAGCGGAGTGGACTAAATTAGGTTGACAACCCTTGATCAGTCTGGCTCAACCACACTCAGATTAAGGCTCCATCGAAGAACTTCGGCCACATTTTGGCATAGGCAATCTTCAGACTGTGGACGACTGCAAAACAACAGGCCCTGCTAAAACACCCGAAGATTCTCAAACCCGACGAGATTTCCGGTTTGGTTATCATAAAAGACGAGAATTTACAAGAGAAAACGACTCTCGCGGAGAAGCAGGCTTTTAGGAGTGCCACCAGCGAGATCAACAACGTTGTCGTTAGTGGAGTACACCTCTGTGTTGTGGTGACACAACTTCGTTACCATGCCCGACAAACTGATCAACCACCAACGAACCGAGTCTAATTGCATTCTTTTCCTATCCTACGAACAGGTGGTTATTTATTTGTAATGTACTACACATAAGGTTGCTGAAAATCCGTCGACAGCCCACGACCGGTTTCGCGCTTTTTTGGAGCTTATCAGGTAGGCGAAGTCCCCAGGTTTCCGTCAACCTTATGTTTCACTTGAAATCAAATTGCACGAAATTAGCGAATATGCACTCATTTGCAAACTAATTCGTTTTTTCGAGAGGTTCACCTGAATCCCAGTTGAATCTCTCGTTTGCGAAGCTTCGCTAATTTCGTGCAATTTGGTTACAAGTAGAACATAAGGTTGATGGGGAATCGTGGACTGAGCCTAACTGATGACCCCAAGAAGGGCGAAACCGGCCGTGGGCTGTCGACGGATTTTCAGCAACGTTATGAGTATTGCATTACGTATATACATGTATCGCGATATCTCGAATATCGCGGCGACTGAAACATGAGGCGGCCTGGTGCAGCACATTCAGTTGCCTGAGAACATCACAAACGAGAGATTCAGCTGGGTTCCAGGTGAGTCTCTCAAAAAACCAAATTATTTTGCGAATGCGTCTATATTTGCTAAAGTGGTTATTTATTTTGAAACACCAGACGTCTTTATCGTAGCTGGGGATTGAGCCCACCGGGAGACAAGATGGAGCGGCCTAGATTATTCATAAATTTAGAGATTCGCGTTAGTTGTACGGCGAAACCCAAAGCGACCAACTATCTGGATCCCGAAAGTGAAGAAATACTCTCTCCTGTGCCCACACAGTAAACAACTGAGCGAATAAAAATTCCGAAAGCCATGGCTAACCTATCCATCTGTCTAAAGCTCTTTACTCATACCGACCAGTTTAAGAAAGGTTGAAGGTTTTGCTTCACGGTACTTACAGTGAAAGCGCCCAGTTCGCTGTGCTTTCGAATACATCTATGGTCTCAGATAAACTCGATGATACAGGGAGAATATAACACAGGAACCAACGAGAGGGATCTCTTGCTGCAGGCCGCAATGCTTCCATTGTTGGCTCTGAACTTTTATTCAAGGCCCTGTATCATAACTCTGACCATTCACCGAAGCCCTAATCATGTGGATGTGACAACCAGCAATCAGTGCAATTAGCAAGATTTTGTCTGAAATAATTCTGTGATCATGATTTTTATTCATGAATAGTTTTTGTCCTCAGGGCCTGTATCGAACCGATGATGCTTACGGCTATTAAAAGGGTATCGTTTTCGATGCTCTTGCTTTATGTATGTACTTGAACAAGGTAAACAAAATGACAAAACTTCGCAACACATGACTTGCCGCTTTTGGAGTGGTTTACGTTTGATAGCATAATGAAAAATAAGGAATTTGTAAAGCTGACAAGATTTGATGGATTGTTATGTCTGACTGCCGTTCCTGCTCCAGTGCCCAGTGCCATAAAGGAGAACAAAGAATACAACAGCCTAATTGCAACAAACGAGTGCGTGCGATTGCAAAAGTTACAACGGCTCCGCGTTATTTAAAGGGGACTTTCTGACATTGATCCACACTGTCTGATAGGCGATTAGTGAACACTCATCAACATCGACCGTCCCTCTATAAAATGGCTGAACGCTGATCACATTCGGTCGTGTCTGAACACTCATCGGCTTTTGCTGCATTGCTTGAATGACTGACTGGCCTGGATGCTCGCCGGCTTCCCTATTGAGATTTCGGTGGAGTTTTGGGGTCTCAGTAGGTTTCGGGCGTCCTGGGGTTACTTTCAGGAACCTGGCTTTCCTGATATGGATAGATTGAAAGTACTTCTGAATGTGCTCAGAGCGTTTAGATAACACCCAATATATGGTGGAAGACCTGTAGATTTAGGCCTGAATGTTCTTATTCATGGATGGGAATGATATGGCCTAAGATAAACAAGGGGAGCGGACTAATCAGAACCACGACATTTGTTTATGTGGTATCCATACCGTGATAAATATGGATTGCGTAAATGACCGGTTGTCCTACGTAAGCACTTTGACCAACCAACGATTCATTTTCTCCGATGAGCATCTGATTGCTGGTCAACATTCCGAATGTTTATTCGGGTAGTCACAAATCTCTGCGGGCAGCATGTTCATGATGATGATGATCAAATCCTGGTCTTGAAATTTAACTGAGTGTTTCGCATAAAGATGTGGTCAGATTCTGAAATCATCAAACACATGGGTGCTTTCGTTGAAATTCATCAGACGAACGCGTTAAAGGATCGATCACGCCAATCCGAATAAAGACAAAAGCGATCATCTGACCGAACTCCTTGGTCATGCAACCACTGCATTTGGATCTATTCAATCAGGAGGATGAGATTCCTGAACGTCCGAAACCTACTGAGACCCTAAAACCTTCACCAGAATATCGATAAGAAAGCCGAGAAGGATCCAGGATCCAAGCCGATGAGTGTTCAGGTACGATCGAATGTGATCAGCGTTCAGGCATTTTATAGAAGGATGATCGACGTTGATCAGTGTTCACTAAGTGCCTATCAGACAGCATGGATCAATGTCAACAAGCGCCCCTTAAATGGCGCGGAACCGTTGTAACTTTTGCATTCGCACACAATCGCTTGTTGCAATTAAGTTGTTGTGTTCCTTGTCCGTGATTTATTTTTCCGGCACTGGGCATTGGAGCGGGAACAGCAGTTAGATCTAGCAAATTCGTTACTTGCATTTATACTAGTATTATTCTTCCTCACGCACTTTCCTTCCTACTGGACGGTTAATAAATTAATTGCTGCGTAGCAAAGTGGAAAGCCTAATGATCGACTTTGCCCTGTTGAAAGTCAAATCCTGGTTGCCCTGGGATTCCAATCTTTTAAGTCTGATATGCTAGGTAGCTGTTTCACCGTACACGCGCACGCGATCAAGTTCTCCGATCAAGTTATCTTGGCCGGGGACAGTTGCAAAGTAACTGTGTTGACTGTGTCGATCGATTGAATCTCTTGTCAGGAACTACCAACTAGGCGGAGTCACAGAGAGTCAGAACGTAGTGGAAAATATCACTATTTTTCTGTGGAATTCGCCTGAATGACTTGTTTGATTGTTTATTTACCTTCAATATTGAAGTGACCACCCCAGTCGGGTCAGAAGATAAGGATAATTAGCAAATTTACACTCATTCACAAACTAATTTGGTTTTTCGAGAGACTCACCTGCTGACTCACCCAGCTGAATCCCTCGGTTTTGATGGTTCCGGGTCGCCTTACTTGCTGCACACAGCAGGGCGGGTAAGCGAAAACATTCTACTGCTGACGCCTTCCTTCTTACACTTTCACGTTTTCCATCTTTCACCCTCCCTCGCCTAAATTTGAATAAATTCTCCGCAGATCTCAGCTCTGGGACTGACCGTTTTGCTCGCCCTGTATCACATTCAGCTGCGGCTTCTGCACGTCCGAGTTCACTTACAACCCTAAACACTTCGAAGTCTGTTTCCATACCTCGAAGACCATTCTTTATGGTTGTACGGCAGTGAAGCATCGGTGCTGTCTTTGATGATGGTGATGATGTATCATGGAAGAACTTTCAACGTTTGCTCTGCCCATGTAACATCACTTGGGCTGTAAGGGACAGAGTGTTATGGTCTGATATATCCTACTCTGTGGATAAGAAACGAGGTAGCCGGGTGCAGATCCTTGAACGGAGAGCGCCCACAAAGCATTGTGTTTACCTGTAGTGTTGAGTTACGACTAAAAATAGACAACCCAATGGAGCAACTGGTCGTAATTGGTAGATTGTGCTGGTTAAACCCTGTTCTTTGTATGCCACATATTCGCTTCTTGAGCAGAGACATTTTTGACCAGTTGGGAACTCTAAGGGATGACAACGAATCCGGTCACTTTGGCAAGTGCCGTCACTATGGGCTCAGACACGGACAGGTCAGTGACCCTGACCGATATGGCTACATCAAATAACCAGTTATAGTCCTGAATTAAAACAGCCCTCTCGCTTCCTGTTAGATCGGACAAACACAACAGATTGAAACAAAATACACTCATTTGCAAACAAATTTGGTTTTGCGAGAGACTCGGCTGGAACCCAACTTTATCAAGAAGCTCAGATTCCTGAAAGCAACTTCGGGACGTCCGGAACCTACCGCTCCACCGAAAACTCAACAGGGAAGCCGGCAAGCATCCAGGCCAGTCAATCATTTAATCAATTCAGCAAAAGCGGATGAGTGTTCATGCACGCCACAGAAGCACGACCGAACGTGATCTGCGTTCAGGCATTTCATAGGGGCACGATCGATGTTGATGGGTGTTCACTAACGCCTATCAGACAGCTTGGATCAGTGTCAGAAAGTCCCCTTGAAATAGCGTGAGGCCGTTGTAACTTTTGCTCTCGCACTCGCACGCACTCACGCTCCCGCACTCGTTTGCTCGATATATAGCGGTTGTGTTCCCTTCTGTGAATCTTTTATCTCCGGCATTAGGCACGGGAGCGGGTCAGCAGCAGATACCACAGACTGACGAATCAGCAGATATAACAACTTAGTCTCTCGTTTATGAATGTGCTGCACCAGGCCGCCTTATGATCTAGTTGAAACGATATCGCGATACGCATATAGGCGTAATAAACTACTTAAAATGTTTTCAGCAAACTTATGAGTAGTGTATTACGTATATAACAGATAAATTTTATTGAATTCGCTCGTCACTACTGTACTTCATTATTCCACACTGAAGGGAGCTGTCAGAGTTGGAACGACTGTACGTTAACGAATTGATTTGGCCCCCAAAAAAATAAAATTAACCGGAATGAACGCATCACAAGTACGCATAAAACTGCGGGAATCCATCACATACCACAATTTTCTCAACGTCTCCATTTGGTATGCTTGATTTCGCAGATAGGTTATATATGGTTCGAAATTCGCTCCTCCAGCGTGTTTCACAATCAGGTCACAAACTTCGTTCAAGATTGGCATTTGTGATACCCATCGAGTCTCCAGATCCTTGAGGAATCTGTGTTCGCAGAAATGTGAAACAGGAAGAAAAAATGACGGATATCCGGCTTGTTTCTTGTTCCAGGGATAATAGGAGAAACAGCAAAAGAAGTGGTTTGACGGATTTTATGTGCGGTTGAAATAAACAACCATTGCGTTTGTCCGTAGAGGGTGCAATTCATCTGGGCAACGGGGAAAGGCGTTGCCGGCTATTCAAACGGACGAATAGGTTTTTAACCAATTCAGCGATAAGCAATTCAGAGTTACCCAATCTACAAGTTACACGCTTTTCACACAGAAACTGACCCAGATGCCGTTGACAATGGAGATCCCTTTGAAGGAATCTGTCTGAAACAAAAGCCAACCTGGTTCAAGACAAGATCCAGATAGTCAATCCAGTGCCCTATGAACGGTTGAAAACACAAGTTCAGACACAAGTTCCGTCCGACATGCGCTCGCCTCGCATGTCAGATGTCCGGGGTTCGAATCCCGGCACGGCCATTGGATATGCACTGCTGATGAGCCCTAGTAAGAGCGAAACTCGAGTCCAGTGCTTCACTTTGGTGTGGACTTACCGGAATAATTACGCCAGAATAGGTGAACGAGTGTTCAAACAAGAGTGCTGTGACTATGAGGAAAACATAATTGTTTGCGGGATGTAACATTAGACATTCACAAAGAGGACTCCTTGTAAGTTGGTGTGATCACATCAGACAAACAAGCAGAATTTTCTCATATGTTTTGCGCTTTCCAAGGACAGACTTCAGTTTTCCAAGTGAAGCACGTAAACGCACTGAAACGGAAGTTTCGATAATCGTGATCAGACGGATCAAACTCCGCTCTTGTCATCAAAACCGGGATCAAGCTCAGTAAGAGTTATAGAAAAAACTTGTGAAGCGTGGAATTATCCGTCTTATCTATTCGTTAAACTTGGAGTTTGGGACTGATGAAAAAACTCTTCTTATTAGGAAGAACGTTTGGCGGCATTCTGGGATGCGTTTTTCCAATAAAATTCCCACCTGTTAAATGGATCCAGGTAGATGTCTGATAAATTCGAGTGATGAGTGGGGAAAGAGGGGAACAAGCTAAGCAAGAACTTTTTAATCGCAAAAATCACATTCTCTTAGCGAATTTGAATAGTTTTAGCAGTTCGCTTATATCATAGCAGTAAAACAAACGAACAAATCAAGGTCACCCCCGAGTAACTCTCGGTCAGATTATGAAAGCTTAGTCCCATTTTTTCAATCAAGGGCACATTTAAAAGAGTTCCTTGTACGAACGAACGTGATTAGGGAATTACTTAAGAGGGGCCTGCTAAATCATCAGTTGAAACACTCAGAACCAAAAGATTAAGGAATCAAAAGCCGATTAAAAATAATTTGGAAGAATTCCCCCAATCCACCAACCGTAAGGTAAGGCAAACACGCCAACCAACATTGATCTACTGTGTCAATCTGAAGAGGTCTTACTGGTTGATTATATCTGTCTTAAAACCTGGCCAACCTGATATCCTGCTGATGAAGCCCTCGTGTCGAAAGCGAAACGTTAAAAGAGACCGATTGTTTGTCAAGCTGTTCTTCGGTTCCAAACTTCTTCCAGTCGATTAATAAATATTTGGAAAAAGAGTTGTATGCATCAAACATGTGAATCACTTGAACGGCATTCAGCTTGTTGTCCGCTTTCTGCCGTTTATTCTCAAACCTAGGGCAGTCCCTTTTGACGGCGCGTCAAATTTCTACTGTTATCTGTGCATTTGAATAAGTTTTCAATGTGGCCATCTGGCCTTTTGCAGGTCCGTCCGAAAGACTAACGTCCCTTGGTGAGTATCTTTGTATCAGGTTAAGTTAGCTGACGAATCAAACTTCAGCATTGCAAACTGACCTGTCACACACACCAATCAAATCGCTCAAGCGTGAACACGTTCGCCTGCTCAGACGTGATAATTCAGATGCATCTAACATGCGTTTGTGGAGTAGTGGTTACACGCTCGCCTCGCATGTCAGATGTCCGGGGTTCGAATTCCGGCACGGCCATTGGATATGCACGGCTGGTGAGCTCTAATAAGAGCGAAACTCGAGTCCAGTGCCTCCCTTTGGTGTGGACTCACCGGAATAATTACGCCAGAACTGGAGAACGGCTGTTCAAACGAGAGTGGTGTGACTATGATCAAACGTGTTCGTTTGTGATTTGGCGCAGACCTGATCGACTCTGCAACGACGTTTGTTCAATCGAAGTCCCCAGGAGTTTATCGTTAAATTGCCTGAAACAAACGGCTTCTCTAACTGGACGATCGACTCCTGAATTGGACATCGGTTGTATGTAGTGAAAAGTCCCGGCGATTTGGCGATTGACGGTCACGAAGTTTTCATTGTTACTGTCGGATACTGTTGTTGAATTGTAGGATCTTGACCTCATCACTTATTGCGCATCGCCTTCCGTTTTCAAAACAGTAATCCATATTTCGAGCCTCCTATAGTTAGATTGCAGTTTGCTGACGGTTATTCATGCGGTGAACTCGATTGACCGAGGCCCCTGTCTGCACATCGCATGAGCGTTTGTCATACTTAGGAGATTCAGGTACACGTCAAACCCACCTCCCGCTCCTTTCTGCAGTCCAGGTAACTCGCGGGTGCTATCCTCTTAGTGGCCTTCTGGTTACTAGCTCTCTGCACGTGGAGTGACTCAACCACGTGACTCGACAACAGAACAATTACGACTGACAGTGGTGCCATAATTGTCCTGTGACTGTGTCCAACAGTGCCCTCGTCACATCACATTACGCTTTTCCTCGTTAGTCATTGTAGGTAACGGTCTGAGACAAACAATTAACCATTTACCGAACAGCGAAAGCATTGGCTCGCTCTCAGACCTTGACTGTGCATGCGAAACACCGCGCTACATCATCGCTGATTCCGTTAATTAGAACAGCTTTCCTGCCCTGTGACTGATACGCGATATGCATCCCTTTGCTCAGTCCTTTCGGAATCACCAATCGAACAATGACAGATGTTGATCCAGCTCGGTTGTTTTTTCCCCTACCGCAATGATCGGTTATCGCGCAGTGGTCGTTGATAAAGGTGACCCTGGGCGACCAAATGGAGCCTAATACCGACTGATCCTTTAGTCGAATTTCACCTCTCGACAAGGAAGCGAAAAGTTTCAGGTTCAGCGGTGTGGACAGGAGTAACGTTACTGAACAGGCCTAAGTTTCCCTCTGTCCTGGTAATTGTCGTTCTTTGAATAATTCGAGTTCAAATTCAAGATTATCCTTGTCTAGCTAGACAGCATACTCACTTTTCACTGGCTAAACACACCAGGAGGACGTTTGAAAATAGATGATGTTTCTCCAACGGTTTCAGCAGCGGTCTTCGGGTTCCACCAGAGATCGGTGTGGCGGGAATGACAGTTCCGGGAGTGGATTCTTGTGGCGCATCTGTTCCATTCTCAAAACTGAGTTGGCCCGCAATTTGTGCCATACTGATACCAAGGGACACGGCCTGTGAAGGACTGGTTGGTAGATCCCCTTTTGCGGTTGAACCGTAGGAAAACTCCGGGGAATTGTAGAAGTGTTTCACAAGGACGTTCAGGCTCTGATAGTATGAAGCCTCCGATGTAATGACTTCGAACATCGCCTTGTGTGCGAGAGAAAATAGAGGGAAACAATTGGAAAAATGTACGTTATTGGATGGCATTCAGAGATGAATACCTGTCCAGGTAGCTCAACATGCAGTTATGGAAAGATTCAAACCAAGCGAGTCGTGGAAGTCGCGTGAACAATAAGCAACACGGCGAAAATAAACCGTTTATAAGCGAGTCGCAGAAAAGCTAAAAAATCACAGGGTTACGACCCCCCACCCTAAGAGTTGGTGGGAACCAATCGGTGCATTGCATCACAATCGCTTCAGTTCTGATGATGGTAAAAGAGGCACGCGTGGAACGGAAACTGTGAACAGGAATAAACATGAATTAGCCAATATACAATCATTTGCAAAGGTTTACAAAGACATACATGCATCGCGATATCTCGATGCTGCAGCACATTCAGTTGCTTGAAAACATCACAAACGGGAGATCCAGCTGGGTTCCAGGTGAGTCTCTCGAAAAACCAAATTAGTTTGCAAATGAGTGTATATTCGCTGATTTCGTGCAATTTGGTTTCAAGTAGAACATAAGGTTGACGGAAATTCGGGGACTGCGCCTACCTGAGGAGCCCCAAGAAGGGCGAAACCGGTCTTGGGCTGTCGATGGATTTTAAGCAACCTTATAAGTAGTACATTACAAAGATATGCACGAATCAGCCAAATTTTAGGGAAGGCTCAATCAGAAAGACGGTAAGAATTGGCCCTGGAAATGGCCCTGGTTGATGGTTATGGCATCTTATTAATAACCCATTGCTTGTTTATCATCCGAAGATCAATACACATTCGAATTAATCGATCTTTCTTCTGAGTTGCGACCAGTGGATCTGAAATGTCTTGGCATATTTGTCACTGGATTTGACGAACCAAGTAAACAAGGTGAAACCCGGACACTGCATGTTGTCACCCGAATAACTGCTAAGTCTGTATAATGAAGGGGTGACAGGCAGGAAGGAAGAAATCTGCTGGTATTAAGCTCTAGTGTTGATAAGTGAGGCAGACAGTCTTTTTATAAAGGAAACTACTCACAAGCTTGTTGAAAATTCTTCGATAGCCCACAACCGGTTTCGCCCTTTTTGGGGTTCATCAGGTAGGAGCAGTCTCCGAGTCTTCGTCAACCCAAATCGGACTGTTTTTCCAAAAATACACCCATTTGCAAATCAATTTGGTTTTCACGAGAGACTCAACTGAGTTGACGAAAGCTCGGGCCGACGAGCCCCAAGAAGGGCGAAACCGGTAGTGGGATGTCGAAGAGTTTTCACCAACCTTGTGAGTGAATTCCTTCATGAAAATATACTTCGATTTCTCGAATATCGTGCCAACCAAATCATGAGGCGGCTTGTGTGCAGCGCATTCAGTTGTAGAATATCATAAACTATAGATTCGGTTGAATCTTTCGTGAAAACCAAATTGATTTGCAAGTGAGTGTATTTCTCGAAAGACAGACAAAGTCTTGTTCTACGCCCAAAAGTACAACAGAAGTAGTGGCCCGAGAACAAACGAAACCAACATCTAGAGAAGGTCATTTGCGTTCAAGGGTAGAGCTTGCGACGGATTTTAACCCCAAATGAGTAAAATCCATCCAGTCGTCGAACGCTTAACTGTTCAACCACCGGGAGGAATATGACTGGTTCGAAACTTTCTGAGTTTCGTCATATAGATAATTTCCAATAAAAACGAAACAGCCGTAGGATGCTTTTTGGCTTTTCAACACGAAGATATCTCATTTGACAACTAGCCGGAGTATCCCTAGATTCAATTAGATCGCTAATGTTCATGATGATGGACGGAAGGTAGAATCCGTGAAATGTGAACTGTCCGAGGATTCAGCGGCACAACACGAATATTCAGTAGTACACGCGACTGTTTATCAAAACAACTCCCAAGACCTCCCTTAGAGTGGAGGTCTGGTGGAGATTCGTGGCGTCACAAAGAATTCGGACTTCCGTACCCAGATAAAGACGTAAAGTTTCAACCTGGTAGAACAGAGAGGTAGTCAGTTAACGTCAGTTTCCAGGCGTCTTAACCATTGGGCGGGATACATCCGGAACTGATGTGGAGCACAAAATTGAATGTAACGGGATGACAACAAGACCTGAAAACGCAGGAACACGACTGACATCCGCTCCTTGCCGGACACCGGGTTTATGGTGACCAGAACCGATCAGCGTACGGTAGGTATGTGACCACAAACGCTTAGGAACGCCGTGTGACCGTGACAGCGATGCAAGTGAAACAGGAAGGGTGAACAGAAATAAACATGAGCTTAGTAAATATACACTCATCTGCGAACTGCGCCTACCTGATGAGCCCCCAAAAAAGCGAAACCTGTCGTGGGCTGTCGACGGATTTTCAGCAGCCTTATGAGTAGTGCATTACAAAGACATACATGAACTTAGCAAGATTAGCACGAAACGAAACCAAATTCATCTATCTTCCAAGGACTACGATTTCGGGGGCGTAATCTAAGGATTTCTGAGGGACCGAAATACCTCTTATTAGGACTTGGTTTGACCCACATACACCAAACTCAGAAAATTTTTGAAAAACATAGCATAGTTCCAAGTCTCCGTGATGTAAGTTTATCGCAAAACCAACTGTTACGGCCCATGTGACATGCTCCCACAAGCACGCTGAAATTTACGTATCCTAAGACCTGACATGTGCGGCGTTCTTTCGAGAAGAATCTTAAAGAACACTCTAGTACACGTAACCGTGACAACGTTTAAAAAAGAACGGTAGTTGGCACAGCTAGAAAAAAGATGTGTATGAGTTACGCTTGTCCGCGCTGGAATTTACGGTATTCGATGGTATTCGTTTTTTACCAGATCAATGGATGCCTTTTTGGAAGCTACTACAACTGCAGGTGGATCAAACTGCACGTCAAACGTTGTTCAACAGCCTGAATCAACCAATTTCATACGTTTCAAGTTAAACATTCGCAGTGGTCTATCCAGGTATCAATAGAATGAAATGGTAGTGGCTGGAAAACTTCTGAGGGTATGACGCTTGTTGCAAGTTTCCTCTGTCTTCCAAGAAGCCATTTCTCACGTCCGCAGAGAGGTAGTTCACCAGAAGATGGTGTAAAAAAGCAAAACTAGTGAACAGGATCTTCAAGGACGTTTTGTTTTCTTTTTACTGTGAGTGAGCTGACTTATCAATGACGTACCAAACAGATTCAGTTTTGTTCATTCTAGTTGTCGGATGACCGAAGTACCGAAAAGCCCTGGCCTATTGCAGACGAAAAACAGAAGTTCAAAATCTTATCAGGGTAAATCACGAAATTGAAACTTCCCAGACGGATAGTTCATTCTCAGAACGGTGCACATCAAGTGCTCTTTTTCAGGTTCCCTCTTATTGAGGGCGATGGCCCATGGTGGGGTTACCCCGTGAATGATTTTGCTCTCATGACTCGGGTAATGAACCAAAATGTCGATAAACCAATCAGAAAGTGACTAGTTCCAAAGATGATATAGGCCTTATCCACTGTTTGAGTTACAAGGTGCAAGGTGACGCATCATTGGCTCCTAAGCTGTCCTCGGTGTAGGTAAACTACTCTGTCAAATTCGGATTAAGGAACCCGTTATCGTCGGTCGTTGCGAGCAGTGCAGAATGTCCTTGCCGCCATCCTCTTGTCTATCAGTATACAATAGTTTATTATTGTAGGATATTCATGCGGCACTTGACCTTCAGGTCAAGGTCGCTTCGTGATCAAAGTCCATTCGGGAAGGTTTCCTTCGTGAGTCAGTAGATTTCGTGTCCGGAACTGTAAACTGGATTTGGAAACCGGCTTTTTTAAAGGCAAACCACAGATAGCTATTAGTTTCACGAAGATTTTTAATGGGATTTCCCATAGGTCTCCCTGTGTTTCTTTGTGGAGATTAATGAGGTTCGTTTGCAACAAAAGCGAAAACGTTTTGTGGACACCGTAAGAAATCAACGCCAGTGACAATAGTTCTGTTTGTGGAGGTAAGCTGGGTTGCAGATCACTCAAGGTTTGGATAATTTCCCTGAGGTTTCATCGTGCAAACTGTTGTAGCTGTGGATAATACTGATGAAACATGCAAGTAGTATGTGGCTTTCTCATAAATCCGCTGCGCGTCTATTGGAAAGTAAGATTTATTACGGAATTTATCGAACTGTTTTTTAGCCTTCGTTTACTTCTGAGTGATGGTCAATGAATATCCGGGAGAGTTTAGGAATATGTACTCGAGAAGAAGATGGATATTCAGTTTTTATAAAACAAGATGCATATGCGGGTTTTGCTTCCCTGTCCAATAGTCTGTAACTGTTCACTTGGTGTTTTCCAATAAATACCTGCACAACGGAGGCCATTTTCCTTTCACTGTCAAAAACTGCCACATCAATGCTGACGAGACAGATTTAATAGCAGAGAGCAACTTTTTATCTCGTATCCGGGCCACTATGTGGCGGGCCACTATGTGGCGGGACAGGGCGGGCTCTCCATAAGGATGAACAGACTGGTTTCTCAAGTATATTTTGTAACGACCGTCCACTAGACTACAGTCAGAAATGTGGTACGCTGTGAAACACTTCTTTTTTGAAACGGTTGAGGGGTTGATTGGAGTTCCCAACGAGCGTTTGATGTTCATAAGCAATCGAAAAATTTCGCAACATAAGGAAAATTCATTGGCATTGAATACACATTTGATTGCACAGTAACCAAACCACGTAAGTATTTTTTGGCGCCACTGGCCACCAAAAAAAGGAAGTGTAAGCTTCTAATCTTCGAGGTGTGTGTAGCGTGACATCATCATCATCACTGTAAGCTGTCATAACCGCGTACTCGTCGTACAATGGTCGTAGCTGCCGCAGTTTCGTTCACCGATGATTTGGGGTAGGTTGCTGCGCATTGAAGGCGGGAGCTGATAAATTGGTTCGTAAATACAGCATTGTCAGTGGGGAGATTGGCAGAGAGCTATGCAATGAGGGCAATAGCTTGGATGCATGAGTGCCATTGAGGGCGCGACTAG